TATTAATCTTATTATTATTACTATTATTAATAGTATTATTATTATTTATATTTATATTATTATTACTATTAATAATAGTCTTATTATTTAGATTCTTAAGAGTATTATTAGTTATAGTAATATCTCTACTTATAGTAGGATTATTACTATAAGAAATAGATTAACTAGAAATATCTCTTAGTAGACTATTATAGGTAGTATTATATCTATTATTATTAGGTATAATACTACTATTTATATCCTTAAAGTAGGTATTTATACTTATAGGAAGCTCTTTATAATAAGAAATAAAGGTATTCTCTAGGATTTTAACGTCTTAAGATGGCCTCTAGCTGTTCATAGTGATTTTTACCTGCTTAGAGCGATAGACCTCCTAACTCCACGCCTCCTAATAATATATATAGCCTTTAGTTATATGATCGTAGTCTCTAACTATATCCCTCTCCTAACCACAGCCGCACTTATATATACATACAATATCACAATCTTTAACTTTACTTTAATAATAATATAGTTTATAATTACTTAATTACTTAATTACTTAATTACTAACTACTAAACTATTAACCTATCCTCTCTCTTGCGTATCACCCACACCACTAACACTATCTCTATTACTACTTTACCATCTGCTATTAACTATACTATTATTAGTAACGCTCTCTCTATTTAGTATAAGGTATACTTACTAATAAGCTCTATATAAGGCTTATATCCTCTTTAATACCCTTAAGTACTTTAGAGAAGAAATCCTACTTATTAGGGTAGCTAAGGATATAGTTAAACTTTATATTAATATTATCTAAGGCTTTCTTAGTAAGAGGGATAATATTACTACTTATAGGGGCTTCTAGGAGGCTTATTAATAGAGCTATTAAGATAATATACTTTTAGTCTTCTTTAGATTATTCTTTAAATAGAAACTTCTTATTAAGTATACTAAGGTTAAAGTTATTCTAAATATATTATATATTATTTATAGAGATAAGGGCACTACCTAGCTTATACTTAGCGAACTTAAGTGCTTTATATAGTATAGATATTATAAAAGATTTATTATAAGCTATAAGGTGAGGAAGAGGAAGAGGGAAGGGTATAAAGCCCTACCTATAGTAGTAAAGTTTTTATACTTTTAGCTATAAGAACCTCTTAGGATAACCTCTTTAGTTAAGGAGTTATCTCTCTTATAGTAGTATTTATAGCACCTCACTAGAAGGTTTAGTAAAGCTATTACTATAAGAGCCTTAATAACCTATTTAGCCCTGATATGATCAGCCCTACTATATATAGTGCTGCTACTACTAGCCCCACGCTATGCAGCTAGCGCTATTACTGTTCTACTAGTCTATTTAGCTAGGGTATACGTTCAACTTTATGATATTTAGAGGGTTTGCCTACTAGCAGGAATATATAAGGTTTCTATACTGTTTTCCTTAACTAGTAGAGGGTATAAGTTAAAGTGCCTATATAGTGTTTCTAGAATTATGCCTGCATATAGGGTGAATTTTGCTGTAGTCTTTTTGTGGGGGGGCTGTGTTATAACTATAAACTTAATTAATATCTTAAGACTATAAGGCTCTTCTTAGTTATATATTTTAGATCTTATACCTATTAGATCTATAATTAATTATATAACTTTAATATACTTATATATTTAGTTTTTTAATAAGT